GCCCCCCCCCCCCCCCCGCCCACATGGGCCTGCCGGTTCTGGTAGGACTGAGAGGCCGGGACAGGGAGGAGATGGCGTCAGCAGCCTTGGACCCCGAACCCCTCCTGGGGCACACCGCCTCTGCCGCGTCCCTGCCTCCCACTGCCTACCCCGGCTGACCCTCTCTGACCCGACCGCTGTGGGCCTGGGCCCGTCCCCGGCCACTCACCTCCATGGGGTTCACAATAATGGTGAGGGCTGAGTCATCCCAGAAGAGGTCCGGGTCCTTGGGGTCACTGGCGGCCCCCGGAGGCCCTGCAGCGCCTGAGACGCGGCGATGCAGGGAGTGGATGCGCACGAGGCCCAGGACGACCATGAGGGCCAGGAAGCCCACACACACCACGATGATGAGCGTGGCGGCGCTCGGGACCACTGCCGGGAGAGCAGAGCGGGCATGGCGGGGCTGCCCATGCCCCAGGGTGCTGGGACGCGCGCGAGGGCGAGGAGGGGCTCTTCCAGCAGAGCTGGACCAAGGTGGCCACACCCCACATGGGGCCAGGCTCCTGCGGGCCCCTGCCCACCTCCACCGGCCACCTCCCAACCTGCTCGCACAGAGGGAGGAAAGGAACATGCCACCAGGGAAGATGCGGCCAGGCAGGGGAGCCCTGGAGTTAGAGAAGACAGGTCCGTGGTGGCCTGAAGAGGGTCTGGGGAAAGGCAAATGCCGGGAGGGCAGAGGGAGGCAGAGCAGCTGCAGCAATGGGACAGGACAGGTGCAGGTGGGCAGGGAGGCCGCTGGAGGGAGAGAGGGTCCCAGCCCCGCCATGGCATGGCCTGCCCTGTGCAGCAGATGAGGGTGGGCAAGAACTGGGATCTTCTGGTGTTTGCCTGTGGCTTCGCAGAGACCAGTGAGCCCAGGAGAGAGATGTGCAATGCCCAGCGAGGGAAATAGGAACTTGAAAGGCGCAAGAAAGAGGTTTGAGCCTGGCCTGGCTTCCAGGAAGGAGGTGGCAAGGAGCTGGCACCCGGCCAGAGGACAGGGCCTCCTTCGCTCACCCACCTGGACCAAGCTCGCTCCTGCTCTGTGGCATCTCCCTTCTCCTCGTGGGCTTGGGGCTCCTGGACATCAGGGGCTTCGGCTCCTCCTGCACCTGCCCCCCAGGTGTATCCACCTGCCCCTGGCCCCTCCCATGCCTCGGGCCCTGCAGCCTCACTCGGATGCCCAAGTTCAGGGGGGCATGGACCCTGAAGGGCAGTGAGACACAGAAGGGGGCGTGCACTCTCACTCGGACCTTGGAGCTGATGGGGGCACAGCAGACGTGCATGCACAGGTACAAGCCCAGGAAGACCGTGCGGGCACACAGCTGGACAAAGGCAGCCACACCCCACAGCCGAGCCAGGCGCCCGCAGACCCGTACGCCCGCCTCCACCAGCCACCTCCCAACCTGCTCACACAGCGGGACTAAGGGAATGTGCGTGAGGGCCTCCAGCAAGGCGCAGTAGAGCCATATGTGCAGCGTCACCCAGCTTCCTGCCAGCTGGGCCGACCAGGCGATCACCCGGAGGAAGACATAAACGCCATAGATGTGGGCAGTGAGGGCCACCGAGCGGGCAGCCGTGAGCGCCACCCTGGCCCACTCCCAGACCCAGCCACACAGCGCTCGGAGAAGGCTGAGGAGGCCAAATGGGAAAGCCCACAGCCCCAGGGCCAGCACACGCAGGCAGAGACCCCACGCCCACGCCCCCATGCCCCAGACCCCCACAGACAGCTGGGTCGCTGCAGCCCACATGGTGCGCACCCCTGACCACCTTTGTGTGTACAGTGGCTTGACCCTGGGCAGTCCAGCAGCTGAGGGCCTAGTCCCTGTATGTGCGCCCTGAACACACACACAGGGCAGCCGCCGCACAAGCAAGCCCCTGGGGACACGCCCACACACGTTACGTCCCAGTCCAGCCCTGAATTTACCTACAGCCTGAGACTCACACATCAGGAGACAGAGCCGAGCACAGACAAGCACAGGCCCTGCGCCCCAGCACGCGCCCCGGCAGCCGGCACACTCACGCACCGCACGCTCCAGGGCCCATCAGGTGTGTTAGCACGCCCTGCCCGGCCAGGCCAGCTAGCCACACGCCTCCTGGAGGCCGCCCCGATGGCTCTCGGCCAAGTTGGTCCCCATCCTGACCCGACCTCTGACTCACTTGGACTCACTTGCCAAGGAGAGCTGGCTGTGTGGGGGCAGGACAGGCTGGCCCCAGGGCATACACAGGCCTGGCTGGGCCGGCATTTCTCAACTTCCTGCCCACCTGCAGGGCCTCGTCCCTCCCAGGTCTCCACGCCACCGACAGGGCCCAGGAGCAGTGACCCACGGGCAGACAGCCCCTGAGAGGAACAGCGATCCCACCCTCCGAGTGGAGACCACGGCCGGAGAACTTGCTCTAGAGGCATGAGGATCACAAGCCAAAGCCCTTGTTTGTGCCTTGCCCAAATTCATTGGTCCGGCAGAGCTCCTGGCTTGGTGAAGGAAATGACAGGAGGGGCCAGCAGGTGGTGTGGTGGTTAAGAACGCTGGACTCCCACATGAGGGTCAACCACGGTTCAAGTCCCAGACCTGGCAGCTTGCTTTCTCACTTTCCATCTCTCTCTCTTCTCTCTGTCCCTGTCTTGCTAAATTAAAATAAAATAAAGTTAAATAAAATAATTCTTTATTAAAAGAAAAAGAAATGACCATGAGAAAGGAAATGCAGACACTATCTGTAGGTAGTTAATTAGTTTAAGATGTTAGCTTAAGATGAGCTGGAAGGGGAACCAGCAGTTAGCATAAGGGCTATGTCGCTGGACTCCCACGTAGTCGACCGCAGTTCGCGTCCCAGACCTGGTGGCTTAAAACTCACACCAGGCACGAGTGCATGCGTGCCCAAGATCCCAAGAGGAGAATGGAGGAGAAGGAATTGTGGTGTGACCATCCCCCCTGGGGGGTGATTTCTCACTTTCTGTCTCTATGTCTCTCTCTCTCTGGTGAGCGCACGCGCCCTATAGCAAAAACCTCTCAAAAAAAAAAAAAAAAAGATGAGCTGGAAGGCCAGCGAGATGGGAGGATTTACAAATTAGCTACAGATAAAAATTAAGAATTTAAGAAGAACAATCGACCTTTCTTGCCACATTAGATCCACGCAGTTAACTCTGGCCTTGAATGACCCCCACGGCCATCATGGAGGGGTGTTTTAGTAAAGGCCCACGTGGCTGAAAGGACAGTGTGAACGCCCCACAAGGTGCCCTCCACACGACAGCCTCAGATACAGTGACTTCTCCCTTTTTCTTTCTTTCTTATTTATTTAGTTAGAGAGATTTTTGCTACAGAATGTGTGCGTTCGCCACAGAGACAGAGAGCCAGAGAGTGAGAAATCATCCCCCAGGGGGATGGCCACACTGCAGTCCCTTCTCCTCCATTCTCCTCTTGAGATTTTGGAGAAATTCAGCATGAGCTTTTTTGTTTTGTTTTTGTCTTTACACTAACCAGGGGTTTAATATGAGTGCAACCAGCACAGAAAAGCTTAAACTCAAAACTATAAAAACCAAAAGCAGAATGCCATGTGGTAGGCACTAAGGGCAGAGTGTCTGACCATCTGGCTTAGCCAGCCCCACAAATGAGAGCGACAAAGAGAAATCAGAGCAGCAAAGATTCATGCTAAACTGTGCACCTAGGGGATAGGGTATGTGTGTGACACCCAGAGAACCGCCAGGGAAGACCAGAGGGTCAGATCAGACCCTGCCTAGGACCTTCACCACAACTCAAGCCAAACCCGAGCTGCCCCCTGCGTGTACGGGGCCCTGCCCAGCAGGGAAGTGTGTGGAGTCTGGAGCAGGGCCATGCCCCTCCTTTCCTGGGATCAGACTGCGGTTGCCCCGGCCTGCTGGGCTAAGAACCGACACAGGCTCTGGCTACACACGCAGGCCGCCTGTGGAGAGGGGATGGGGCCCTTCCTAGCCATGGATGGGTCACTTCTTAGCCATGGTGCCGCCTCAGCCCCAGCCTGGCTGGCCCCAGCACTCTGTGCTTCCAGCAGCTGTGTAGACACGGCATCCTTAGCCACTTCGTGCCCATCCTGCCCACCTGGGGCCAGCACAACCCAGATAAGGCCACGGCAGGGCACTGGACGCCCAGGGACCACTACCTGGTACCAGAAGCGGTGCCAGCCAGCAGGCCCTGTGCTCAAACACTTGGAGAGAAACACTGGGTTGCCCAGCTTCATTCGTTGGCACAGCGGCTGCAGGGCAGCCCGAGCCCATTGGGACTCTAAGCTTGTCCCTAGCTAGGGCCATACGGCTGCCCTCCAGCTATAGTTTGGTGTGAGTATAAAGTCACTGGGTCCAGGACTCGAACTGTGGTTGACTATGTGTGGAGTCCAGCGACATAACCATTATGCCATTTGCTGGTCTCTTTTTTTCACTTTTTAAAAAATTGTGTTATACATGTACTCACTGGAGAGAGAAAGGGAAGTTGAGAAATCACCCCACCCCACCCCACTCCCACCCTGGGGAGATGACCATGTCAAAATCCCTTCTCCCTTCTCCTCTCAGGATTTTGGGCACACGTGCACGTGTGTCTGGTGTGTTTTTCAATCCATTGGGTCCGGGACCACACAGTCGGTCATGTTTTGATCACCACAGCACCGTGCTGACCCAGGGACAACTTCTTTCTATTCTCGGTCCCAGGGCTTCTCTTAAAATGCCCTTGGCTCTTATCATATGACTTTCCTAACTGTTCAAGTTTCCCTTTGCTTTTGCTACAAGGAAGCTCAGAGTCAGCAGAGTCAACATCGTGGCCCGTCGCAACTGCACAGTATCCATGGTGCGCACTTCATGACCGGATCCAATTGCCTGGCTTCATCCCATTCGCTCGTCATCACCTTTCCTTTTTACTCCCTGACTCACTTCCTTTCTTTACCCTATAGCTTTGCAGGTATTCCTACAGGTACCTGGAGCGGCTCAGGCTTGTAGGAAACCAAGTGGGGAAGTGGCTTCCAAGCTTGGCTGCCCGTTGGAATCGTGGGGACAGTTAAAAAGCACTGATGCCAGGCTCCTGCCCCCAGCCATTCTGATGTCACCGGTGTGGGACGTAACGGAAGCACCAAGTTCATCAAGCTCCCCGGGTGACTGTGCCGGGCACAGAGTTGGAGATGACAAGACGTCCCCACCATCTCGTTTCACTCCTCCCCACCTTAGGCCTTTCAACCATCAACTCCCTGGCCACCTGCCCACCCCCAGTTCTCCAATTCTCGTCCTCGTTCATGTCCATCCAAGATCCCGTCTGCCTGTCTAGGTCCACGCTGGAACTCTCCCCAGCCTTCCCTGGCTGTCCCAGCCCATACTGCTCTTTCCTCTCGGGTACACTCAGAGCCTTAGAGCAACGAGCCTCTGTCCCACTAGAGAG